TTCTTTTAAAGAACCCAAAGAGCTAGAGCTAAGATATTTAGCATGAAACATGTTCAAATGGGTGTCTACCAAGTTTGTTCAAATAAAAGCCCTGGGGTGAAAATTGGCCCCGCCCCGGGGGTCATTGATTTTCCCTATATGCATATAGTAAAAAACTTAAAAATCTTCTTTTAAAGAACTCAAAGAGCTAGAGCTTAGATATTTGGCATGAAAATCTTCTAGTGTGTGTCTACCAAGTTTGTTCAAATAAAAGCCCTGGGGTCAAAATTGGCTCCGCCCCGGGGGTCATTGATTTTCCCTATATGCATATAGTAAAAACTTAAAAAATCTTCTTTAAAGAACCCAAAGAGCTAGAGCTAAGATATTTAGCATGAAAACATGTTCTATTGGGTGTCTACCAAGTTTGTTCAAATAAAAAGCCCTTGGGTGAAAATTGGCCCCGCCCGGGGGTCATTGATTTTCCCTATAATGCATATAGTAAAAACTTAAAAAATCTTCTTTTAAAGAACTCAAAGAGCTATGGCTAAGATATTGAGCATCAAACATGTTCTAATAGGTGTCTACCAAGTTTGTTCAAATACAAGCCCAGGGGTCAAAATTTTGCCCCGCCCCGGGGGTCAATTGATTTTCTTTATATGTGTTTTAGCAAAAACTTTAAATCTTCTTTGAAAAAACCCAAATAGCTAGAGTTTAGATATTAAGCATGAAACATCTTCTAGTAAGTGTCTTCAAAGTTTGTTCAAATAAAAGCCCTGGGGTCAAAACTGGCCCGGCCCAGGGGTGTTATTGTTTTAACTATATGTGTATTGTAAAAACTTTAAAAAAATCTTCTTTAAAAAGCCCAATGAGCTAGAGCTTAAATGTTTAGCATGAAACATCTTCTTATGGGTGTCTACCAAGTTTGTGCAAATAAAAGCCCTTGGGTTAAATTGGCTCTGCAACTTTGGGGGGGGGGGGTGGGGTTGGGGGGCCTATATACAGGTTGGGGGGGCCTAATACAGTGTGAGCGACCTCAAGGGCCATCATGGCCCTCTTGTTAGTGTTATAGACTGTGTTATGCACAGGATTGTTGGATGAAAATTTTAAATGGTCTTGATAAAAATAAGCATCAGGGACAGTGAGACTGAAAATTAGAATTACAGAATGGGTCGTTATGTTTGGTCAGTAAATAGTGATGTATGGCCCAAGGGAGGGGATACAGAATAAAGTATATAGGTTATATAAAAACAGTACTCATTCTGTCTCAGCATTACATACATTTAATAACAGAATCACTACTTCAGTCAGCTAAAATATGAACAGCCTTGAAAAGTGACAGTGAATTAGGATGATAAAAACAGTGTCAAATAAGTAGCAGTTAAGTACTATTATTGTAATTGATACTATATTTTTATCATATTTGAATCAAGTATCAGTTCTCATTACATAAGTATTTATTATTGTTTGATGATCTCATACCATTTTATATTGAATCAAACATAACAATGAAAAACGATCATCAGTAGATAAATAATCAAATTCTATTCATTTATTTGGAAAAATGATAACAAAATACCAGTACTTCAGGCCAGTCCAAACAATAACTTAAAGTTGATATATGTATAGGATATCGACCGAGTATGAGGTCTTTCTGTTTAGCACTCGAGGTGTTTCATGAAATTCGTGACCAGGTCTTTCCTAAACAGAAAGATCGATGTACATGGCCGATATCCAACTTACACACCGTAAAACTATACTGGCTTGCGCTATGGCTGATCTGAAGCATTTGATGCAAAGCACAAATATTATTTTTTAACACAACGCATATAGAGTTAAGCTTTTATCAACGTTCTTCTTAAATACAATATATATTTTGCTTTTCCCTTTAAAAATAATAAGTATTGCGAATTTTCTAGAAATGTTAAGATGTTTTGGATTAGGTGATTCAAACTCGTAATAAGTATGCTGTGATTACTACTATAGTTTCATAGAGAAGCGTCCATTTTTGTTATATTGTGAACTAAATGACAGAAGAACCACTTACATATCTCTTTACTTTGAAAAATGACGCAATTAATTAAATGTTAAATGTGACCTAACTTTGATATGCTATCCATTATTTTTATTCAAAGATTAAATACAGGGATGCTGGAATAATTGCTTAGTGCATTCATTAAACATTATCTTGTTTCAAAAATGTATCCCGAGTTTGTAAGACAGGAACATCATGTTAATCATTTACATTTTATTTCAATTTTTATTTTTATGCCACCGCAGCATCTGCGATGCGGTGGCATATAGCGATTCACCTGTGTGTGTGTGTGTTTGTGTGTGTGTTTGTGTGTGTGTTATATAGATTATATAGTGAACTTAAAAAATCTTCTTGTGAAAAACCACTAGTCCAATTTCAACCAAACTTGGCAGGATTGTTCCTTGGGTGAAGGGCTTCCAAAGTTGTTCAAAGAATTTCATTCCATATAGAAATCTGGTTGCCATGGCAACCAAAAGGAATTATTAGAATGAATTAAAAAAATCTTCTTGTAAAGACCCAAAAGGCCTAGAGCTTAGATATTTTGCATAAGGCATTGTCTAGTAGACCTCTAACAAGATTGTTCAAATTATAGCCCTGGGGTCAAAATTGGCGCCGCCCCGGGGGGGTCATTGATTTTCACTATGTACATATAGTAAAAACTTAAAATACCTTCTTGTAAAAACCAAAAAGGCCTAGAGCTTAGATTTTTGCATAAGGCATCATCTGGTAGACCCTTACCAAGATTGTTCAAATTATAGCCCTTGGGTCAAAATCGGCCCCGCCCCGGGGTCATTGATTTTCGCTATATGTACATATAGTAAAAACTTAAAACACCTTCTTGTAAAGACCCAAAGGTCTAGAGCTTAGATATTTTGCATAAGGCATTGTCTGGTAGACCTCTACCCAGATTGTGTAATTATAGCCCTGGGGTCAAAATCAGCCATGCCCCAGGGGTCATGGTTTTCCTTATATGTATATAGTTAAAAACTTAAAAAAAATTCTTCTAGCAATTGACAAATGCTACAGGTTAGATATTTTGCATGAAACATTGTGTTGTAAACCTCTAGCAAGATTGTTCAAACTATAGTCCTGGGGTCAAAATTGCCCCCGCCCTGGGGGTCATTGATTACAATATATACATATAGTAAAAAATAAAAAAAATCTTTATTGTCTGAAGGTACAAAGGCTTAGAGCTTTAATATTTGTTAAATAATATCATCTAAAGGTACTCTACCAAAGTTGTTCAAATGTTGCCTCTTGTCTTCTCTAAATTTACAAAGGATAGAGTTAAGATATTTTGCATGAAAACATTGTGTAGTGGACCTCTAGCAAGATTGTTCAAATTATAGCCCTGGGGTCAAAATTGGTTCCGCCCCGGGGGTCATTGATTTTCATTATGTACATATAGTGAAAAAAAAATTTTGTCTGAAGGTTCAAGGCATAGAGCTTTGATGTTTGATATATAATATCATCTATAAGTCCTCTACCAAAGTTGTTCAAATGTCAAAAATTGGCCCTGCCCAGGGGCAGTGATTCTCATTATGTTCACGTAGTAAAAACAGAAAATAAAACAAATGTTTTCTGAATGGGAGAAAGCTATAGCTTAGATACAATGTATTTGACTTGAAATGTTGTTTGGTGGACCTGTATCAAGATTGTTATTAAACCCTTGGGTCAAAATTATGCCTTGCCCAAGAGGACAGTGACCTACTTTCTTGTCCTTTGATGTACAGCAATGACATTTTGACCATGTGCACAGTTTTAGTTGTAAAATTGAACTTTGACCTAGATTTTGATGATGTGACCTACTTTCTTGTCCTTTGATGTACAGCTATGAAATTTGAAACATGCGGTGGCATAGCATTTTTCTCAAATGCAATCTTGTTTTTATTTCGTTTCACATTTTCTTTGCCTGTGCATAGGCAGGTCTATTTTTTCACGTGTTTTTCATGACCGGGTCTGTCTGACTTGAACAGACCTGTGCACATGCAAAAGATAGACCTCATAATGGACTTTCTTTTGTTAAACAGGTCTATCCGAAAAATATAGACCTGTCACAAACAATAGAGGAGGTGTGTTACTATGTTTACTGTCTTGATTTGATAGTAAATAGGAATTAATGTACACATTTTTTCTATGTTCATTTCCTATATAGTCTGCATCTAAACTTATTTTAACAGTTAAATAATACATTTGTGGTGTGTCTAGGTATGTTTCAACTACATGTAGATTTAATCCAAACTTTATACCACAGGCAGAAGGAAGGGTTATTAGTTGCTACACAATTAATAAATGTATTGCATTTATGTTATCATCTGAAGAAGAATCTCAAATTATTCAACTCTGAATTCATCAATACTTTGATTAACTCATACATGTTGACCTTAATTAACAGGTACATGTACACTTTAATTGACCTTAAGTCAACTAACAACGTACATGTATTTAATGCACAATCTCTATGATAACACCCATACATGGCATTGTAGTAACAGTAGTACTATACTAGAGTTTTAGCCTTCAGTATTTTAAAAGAGCTTATTTGCAATGCTGTTTAGAAGTACAGAACAGCTTTAATCTGTATTACTTATATCTTGCTTTATGAATTATCTGTGATACATTTTGAAATGTCAAGTTATCTACTGTTGAGCATTATCACTGGAAGAAAATTGTATTTTAATCATTTAAAGAATATGATCAGAGCAACTTGATGAAGCATGATAGATTTGATTACTGTATGTTTACCCTCATGATATGAAGGTTACTGGCCAAGGATGAAATCAGTGATAGGCCTACAGCACTTGTCCCCAAACCTTGATTGCTTTGGATCTGCAGGCAAGATGAAAAATCCCAGAAGCCATAATTGATGCGTAAAATAATACTGCCGAAAGCCAATATGTGGAGCTTTGTATTAAAATTTTTGTAGCATTGGATAATGAATGTATCAAAAATTTCTGTTTAATTAAATAAATACATGTTTTATTTTCAGAATATGCAGTTTAAGACTGACAAGACTTATTGTGCTTAAACCTCTAGAAAATGAGCTAACTTCAGTTATAATTGCCATGAAAATGCAGGTAAGATTTAAATATTGCTACAGAGCTGATAGGTGCAACAAATTATCAAAATATATATAAGAAAAGGGCTAGAAATTCATTGTTTTATGCAATTTATATGAAGTATCAAAGGACTGACTTTCTATTCTATTAGATCTACTATAAATATACAAATGTAATTGAACTTTACTTAGACAGGGATGTGTCATTTAAAGATTGTAAAAATATTTACCAGTGTTTTTTCTTTTCATAAGCAGATCCAAGGTAGAAAAATTGGCCCCATTAACATAGCCAGAATATTCTTCCATACTTTTATGACTAAAGCTCACACTTGAAAATTAAAAAACATGAAAATTAAGAAAAATAAGCTGTTTAGTGTTAGGTTAAAACTGTTCTGAGTTATTTCTTATAATCTGATTAATCAAGATACATGCATAAATGAAGTCTGAAACTTTCTTTTATTAAATGATAAAATATTGATATATGTAAATTTTTTCACATATTTAGATAGTATGTTAGCTATTTTCACATGTATAAATCAAGTAAGAAAATGTCTTTTACTATTATGGAAATGTTGCATTGTGAATAGTTATTATTTATAAGCCAGTCCTTTACCAAAATATTGATAAAAAAGTATGATTCATTTCTCATAAGATTTTGATCAATATCGTTTATTTATAGAAGGTTTTTTGTGTTTATTTATGCATTATGCTAATATATTAAGTGGCAAGAGATAATAAAAGCAGTGCATGCTTTAGAATATTTGAACCACACTTATAATATATAATTAATTTTATGACATAATATGCCTGATTAAATAAAGGAGGTTTTTTTAATACATATATGAGCCGCGTCACGACAAAACCAACACTGCGTTTGCGACCAGCATGGATCCAGACCAGCCTGCGCGGATCAGGATCCATGCTGTTCGCTATCAGTTTCTCTACCTGTAATAGGGTTGGTTATTCAACAGCATGGATCCTGATCAGACTGCGCGAATGCGCAGGCTGGTCTGGATCCATGCTGGTTGCAAACGCACTATGTTGGTTTCGTCGTGACGCGGCTCATATGTAATATACTCTGTTCCGTGAAGATGAACAGACTTAAGTATCCATTTGCAAATTTTATTCATCAATTAAAGAATTATCAACCGTGACATTAAGATTTCATGCTTTTTGTCCATTAAATTTGGAAATGATTACTGTATAAACTTTATTTATATTTTATGTTCATTATTAATAAGGAAGTACATGTCTGAATCATAATTTATATTTATTTGTATGCAAAGTGTATGATTTTGTAAATTATATGTAAGATTATGATGTAAAAAAATCCCCTGAAAGCCTCAAATTATGTGTAATGATGTACTGACTATTTGACATAATACAATTTTACATATAGCATTGGCCTGATTAAAGTGGAGTATGTAAATGATATCTTAATCAGATAATCTTTTTACCTGGTTTAAATATGGTAGTCTTATTTTGTAAAGATGTCAGGAATTTGAAGTGTAATAATTAACATCCACAATTGAGGTCAATGTTAAACTTGTTCACAATGACAAAATCTGCTTTCTTATAAAATCCACATGTACTGAATGCATGTGTTTAAAGGTCATCACCTTAGTTTCTATTTTGTATGATTTTAGTACAACATTGTTGAAGGCATCATCTTTCTAAACAATATTCCTCAGACAGTCTATAAGAACAGGTTCAATTGTATTTCATTTCAAAATTTTTTATTAATATTTATGTTTTGTAATAGAGTTCAAAGCGAGTATTGAGATCAAATGAGATAGAGATTCCACGAGGTGACACTGCCGACGTACAGCTGGATCTGTCGTTCATGTTGCAGGTAAAAAATACATACGGTTCAATCGCGAGGCTAATAGGTTCAATCACGAGGCTAATTAATGGAACAAAAATGAAGTGCCTTATTCATCAGCAGAGTCAAGACTCTCTGAATAGACTCTGTACTGATTGCTGCTTGATTAGGATATTTTTATAAAGTTGGCTGCTGAGTTTTAATAATTTTATGTTGAAACCTCTTTGTTGGCCTGCTTAGATCGTTTGTTAAGTTGAGAGGTAAGTAATCCAGGGTTTGTTGGTTCTATCCACTCTATGACAATAATTGATCTTGTAAGTTTTCACCGCTAATTCAGAAATCATGTGAGATTTATAGTTGGGCACTTGCGAGGAAATTTGTTATTACTGGTTAATAGTTATCCATGATTGCTGACTCGGTAGATTGACCACCAAGATATGAGCAAAAAAGGTGTTTTGAAGTCAGTGTAAAATTTAGCAAAAACAAGCATACTTAATATGTAAACAATGGACAGTTCCAAAGTCAAAACAGGGCAAATTTATAGTTTAAATTTTATCATTAAACTACATATTACAAGTGTTGATATACTGTGCCAGATTTCAAAACTTGTCAGGGCATTGATGTGAAATGGTAAATATTTAACACACTCAAAATTTGAATAATAGGTTCTTCAAAAAGCATGTTGACTTTTAAGTCTTAATGTTTGTTACAAAATTTGCCGTTTACTAGTTGAGAATATGTAATTTTCCTGGGTGAAAACTAGACAGGAGTGCTTGATACTTTGTTTGTATATTGGCCCATGATAAAAAAAAAATTCTTATACACAGCTGCTAAACATGCACTATCAAAGTTTAATCATGCTATGTGAATTTGTGAAAATTTAACTGTCAATAAAGAAAATCAATTACTTTCATATTATAGTGAATTAAATGCAAAACCTGAGGGGTAAAACCCGATCTTTGTTATCACTCAAAGCAATTTTTTACAATAAACATAAACGATCATAATATCACTGTAGCAGTCAGTGATACAATAGAACACTCAGTATGTTCTTAACGGGAGCTTCAATTTTTTTTTACTGATATACGTAAATTCTTTTAAAAATCCCTGGTTATTATTTATAGAAGAGATAATACCTGGAATATGTTGAATAATTAATAAGTTTTATAAACAAGTAAACAATCATGTCAACAAAACTCATATAATACTTAGAATAGGAGTCTAAGGTATATCTTGTTCAAAAAGTTTTTGATTAATTGATTAAAGTGCCAGTCCTTTAAGAAAGTTTGACTGTTCTTGTAATATGTTTTGTTGTTTGTTTGAATGTCCAGTTAAAATAATCTTATATTTATTTCTATCATATAGTATCCTCATTTCCTGAAGAGAGATGGCAACAAACTACAGGTGATGTTACAGAGAAGAAAAAGATATAAAAATCGGCCGATTATTGGATATAAAACATTGGCTGTAGGACAACTTAGTATGGCAGAGGTGCTTTGTTATTTTTTTTTTATTCAATAATTTCAGTTATAAAAATTGATTTGCTTTTATATGCAGACAGGGCTTTTTATCTTCTATAGCATGGGCCTTTATAGGGCTGCTTTCCCAAAGAAAAATTCTTTAAAATCATGCAGTTTCCCCCAAAAATAAAATTTACATTAAGTTTTTCTTCCCCTTTTGCAAATATACCATGTAATTTTCCCCCAAAAGGGCAGGACTGCTTCCCCAACCTGTGAAAAAAAGCCCTGGCAGATCCATTAATGTTTATCATCTGACTTAACTATACCCCTGCAGTTGCTCTCACATCAATCATTTCATCTCCATACTGTCCACTCTATCACTCTATACCCCTTGAAGGATTTTTTCTTCAAATTTTCTAAAGATGTTGTACTGCTGCATAGTCAAATTGTCAGCAACATAACTACTGAGTTGAAATGAAGTCAATTTTAAAACATTTCTAGTATACATTCATACATATGATGCCACACCTACTTTAAGTATAGGAGCATGATTTTGGTCATGTGGCAAATTGTTGGCTAAGTAATAAAATTAGTTATATTGTTATTTGTAGGTATTACAACATACAGATAACAGAGAAATGGCTCTATATACAGATATTAAAGATCATAAAAATGTTGTTGCTAAGGTTACGATGCTCAATATATCCAGTTCTCCTGTAGATCATGAGGAGAATCAGAATGGAAGAAGAAAGATGGCTTCTGATGCAGGTAGGACCGAATATATATATGTCCCTGGTGGTGATTTTGTACTTTACCTTCTAAACCATGCTTGTAAGCTACTTTGTATTCAGCACAGTACAGTTTTCAGTCATCGCATCGTTCATTGGCTTGCTGTCAAATAGTTTGCCGTACTAGTTCCTTCACTTTGGCAAGGAACTAATATTATTTCTGTACATGACAAAGCATAGGCATAAAAAGGATTTCATGATCAATCACATGAAAGTGACTTGCACCATCCAAGTAGCAAACCAGAGTTGCCTGATTCACAGTCCAAGGCTTTGCAATAAAGCTAACCAGACAGTTATTATTCATTGGAAAGTACACTTGATGGGGCCAAGAAAAAGTTTTGTTGCAACTTTTTTTGTATCTGATTAGGCAATTAACATTTTATAGGTTCCTGAGGCAGAGGAAAGGTTGAAATTGTTTCAATTGAATTTTAAGTTAGTATCATTTACATAGCTAATGAAATATTGATGCAGTTTACCAGTGTTATGTGATCCCTAATTTAATTTAATTTATGCATTTGCTCTTTTTCACAATTTTCATAATTGATAGTATCAAATAATGTTTATGATGGTTAACTTTAGAAAATGAATTTGTGTCTGGTTTTTAATTATTTTATAAGTGGAGTTCCTTACAAGTTGTTTGCCCTATTGTTATTCAATGAAACCATTAATTCCATAAAATTCCTTTGAAATGTACACACTAAAACATCATTTACTCTGACAGATCGCTCACCAGATATAGATGTGGACTCTGAAGATGATGAAAATGAAGAAGATCAAGAAAACTGGTCTAATGATGAACTTTCTGACAGTGAACCAATGATGTTAGAAGATGGGCATTCAAGACAGCGAAAAGTCAATAGGTCAAAGGTTAGACCTGCCATGAATAGGGTATTTATAGTTTGATACATATTTTTAAAGTTGAGTGTGGTTTTTTTATACAAAAGCATTAAATTGCAATTCTGGTGTTTGAAAAACACTAAATAATAATTTTAATTATATGTTATTTATGAAGCTTGTTTTGTCTGCATCTGTAATTAATTTTAGCAAAGGCAATCTGAAATGCATTTTTATGTAATGAATTGGACAAAATCTGTTGTGTTAATTTCAGCAAAGAAATTTGAAACAGAAGTTTGTGGCATTGTTGAAAAGATTCAAAATTTCAGAAGAGGTAGGTCATTAAAAACATTTCACAAACCATTTAATTCGAGGGTTGTCAAAGTTTTGAGACTGCATAAATAAAAATCAAACTGCTCATTGCTTACATTTAAAAAAAAAAAAGGTTATTTGAGCAAAATATTAGTGCCCTGGAACATATAATTATTTGTCTCAATTTATCCAAGTTGCATACAGTGGCTGACTCTGATAAGAGGAGATAACTGCCAAGTTATAATAGCAGGAGATTTAAAGGGGGCACAACTGCTAATTTATGAAAAGGGGACATAAGTGCCAGGTTTTGATAATTTTAAGGAGACAAATGACTGATTTAGTGTGGCTGTGTGGCCGAATGCTTAACCCATCTGACTGGTAATCTAAGGATTGCTGACAACGTGGGTTCAAACTCTGTCAGGGGCAAGCTGTTGTTTCCTTGAGCAAGAAACTCAACACTCAATGCTTAGTACTAGTTGGTTCCAGGAACGGATTCGTGAGTGTTTCAATAAGCTTATAGATTCCAAGACAATCAAACTAAAATAACTTTGTATAAACTAAGACTAATTTACAATGACAGAATAACTCCAAATTTTAATAGGGATGCATAACTGCCTCTGCAAGTGGTAATTATGTTCTATATTTGCATGGCATTACAACATTTGTGTATGAATATTAATTTACAATGAACAGGTGCTAGATGTTGGAGCAGATCATGAGATGTTAGGAGATGGTGAAAACCCTGCAGACATTGATGATCTTATAGAAGAACTGGAAGAGTTAAGTGACAGCGAGCCAGAGCTAGATACCATGAGTGTTATGTCAACACCAAAACCTAGATTAAGGTATTTTTTCATTTTACCAACCTATTTTCTGTTCTTTAATCTTGATTATTAACCCTGGTTACCTTTGTCTTAATGTTTAACCTGATGAATTTCTTAACTGAACAAGTTCAGTTTCCAGTTTTGGAACTGTGCATTACCAATTAGGGGATATCGAGATAAAAAATTGGAAGTTGGTCAGTCAACAGTATAGAGCCTGGTCAGACTCAGTGCATGGCGGTACAGGCTAGCCTGGTTCTATACTGGTGGCAAAGACTGATAACTTGGTCCCAGCATAGTTTTGGTTGATATTAGAAAAAAGTATTGTAGGTGTTTGGGTTTTTTTTGGTGTGAAAAATTAAGTACTGCATTTTCTTTTCACTATTTTCTTGTTTGGAAGTTTAAATGAAATTTTAATAAAAATAATTTCAGTGTCTAATTTTAAACAAGAACTTCTGGGACCCTATTGTCATGCTGATGTGAACTTGTATTACTTTATTTGCTTATTTACTAAGCTGTAAATATGTGCAATAAAATATAGCAAATAAATTTTTTTCTTTATCAATGTAAAGCTAGATTTCAGTGAGTATACATATTATCTATGTATAACTTGATAATTTCAGGCCATTTTTCACTGGACAGGGGAGCACTAATGAAATAGATAGACAAAGTTTAACAGTAAGTTCACCATTTACCATCCCTAGTTATATACCACATCGCATGTGTAAAGTTTGATGATCAGTAAGTTTTGTATTGTACCAATACAGACAGAGGATCAGATTTGTGTAGTTATAATTTTATATTATCAGTTGGTAGAAGGTTTTAGTTGTGTTCATACAATTACTGTTACTATTTTACTTTGTTACCTTTGATTAGGTTTGATTATCAAATTTTAAGGATCATTTTATCCAAGTTATACTTTATGACATAAACTTTTGATAAAAAAAATCTTTATCAACATGTGATAAGTGAATGAATAGTTCTGTTATTACATAGAAGAAACGCACACATCAAAAAAACAAATCAAAATAAAAAACTTAACAGAAAAGAAAAGTAACACATACTTTTATCTGTTATGTTCAAATGTTAATGATGGTTATTGAACTTAAATGAAAAATATTTTTTTGAGTTAATAAGGTTGACAGATATCTAATAAGTAGTGATTGGAATAAGACATAGATCTATCTGTCTAAGGCCTAAAAAAAAAATTGTTTTGTTAGGGTAACATGCTCTCAAGGAATAGGTAGGATTTTTTTTTTTTTTTTTTTTTTTCACCAGTACAGTCGAAACTGTCTTAAGCAGCCAGCCAAGGGATGCAGTCATTTTGGCTGCTTAAGACAGGTGGCTGCTGAATGGAGGATCCAGTTTTATCCAAATAAATTATTTATTTCTTTGTAAAATAAATCTGACTTAAGTATAAATAAACCAGTCTGATTCATCATCATCATCATCATCAGTTTTTAACCATTTACAAACGATATGCTATTAATGGTTAAACATGTACACAATCCTTCCAACATATAAAAGCTTTACATGAATGTAACACAGATAAACAAAATGCACTCACGATTTGTATTATGTCAATAATTGAAAGCTATTTATCCCATAAAATAACTCTTCTTGCACAATAATTTAAAATGCGCAATATTTTTTTCACAAAAAAGTATGACAGTTTCTTTTTCTACTTTTAATCAATAGAATATGTGTACACGTCATTAGTGTTGGCACTTCCTTTGATGTTTCGGATTGAAACAGCGGCTAAGGTTTTAAATCAAAAATTTTTGAAAAACCGCTTTACCTTTAGGGGTATTATGGAAAACTTAATGGTTTTTAAAAACAGTGCCCTATTAATTCAGAAATTTTTTTCACACGGACAAGGTTTTTATAAATCTATTATGAAAATTTTTAGAAAATTGGCGATGTAATTCTTTTCATTTTTTTTGGAAACCGCGCCAAATTTTCTAAAGGGGAAAAAACGTTTTTTTTCTCCCTTGAAAATGCTTTTTTTTCTTTCTTTTTTTCTTAAACGGTAAAAAATTGAAAATAAAAAAAAACGTACAGTAATCAAAAAAAAAATTGAAAGTGCGTTAATTTAAAATTTTGAAATTTACCCGGGGAGGCAATTATGAAAACTTTTTAAAATTTGGTTTGGTTAATATTAGCCCCTGAAAAGTATTTTTTTAATCCGTGACCGTGTCATAAAAAAAATGACAGAAGTTTGCTTGGCCGTTTCCCCTGGCTGACCGCAGAAAATTGCCGGCCCGTTTCACCGGGTTGACCGTTTAAGTGACCGCTAAAGTTCGGAACTTTTTAGGTGCTTGCCCGGAAAGCAGGTACCGTTAAAACAGATTAAAAATAGATGTTTTCGGGGGAGCGAAAAGGGGCCTTAATCAGTGCCCCCGATAAGAGGTGCCCCGTTAACAGTGCGATGTATTTTAAAATTTTAGTATGGAAATTTTGAACCCCCCGGGGGCACAATAATTTTTCTATTTTAAAAAGTTTCAGGTGTAAAAATTTTAAAACTCCGGTTTTTGGTGAAGATCACCCCCTTTTACAAATTTGAGTGTATCGCCTTTTGAAACAAAAGGGGGCGAAAAAACCTGTCCCGTACCCAGGCTCATCTGGGGAAATTTTAGGGAGTTTGACTTCCTGGGAAAAAATCTGGCAGAAGGGAAACATCCCAATTTGTTATGCATTTAACATGCATGGCTAACATCTTTACTAGAATAAACAAAATCTATTTATCGCTTTCTCATATTTTTGATAATAATGTGTAAGAAACTTTGATAATAATTTAACTTTATATTTTTATTTCCTCATTTAACGAAGATACATTGGATATTGTTATCCTGTTCTGTTTACAGAAATTTTTTGTATGATCTTCTATGTTGTAATGTCATATTTTATGTGCATATAATTAGCTTATAAAAAAATTTTTTTAAATATCTAAGAATATGAAAATTGTCTGCAAACATTTGTGCACATTATATTTGATCCTAAAATTATTCATTCATTTCTTATTGAAAATTCGACTGAGAAATTATAGAAAATAAAATTTCAAATTACCTCCCTTTATTTTCATGAAAGTTAAACTCGGATATCTTTAAATAATGTTTTTTGGAAATTTACAAATTTTAAAAAATCTTTTAAACTTTGTTATTTATGCATTAAAAAAATTATATTAAAAAATAAGAAACCCTTTTTCCCGACAAATTTTTTTTGTTATTTCATGAGCACATATAACTACCCATATGTCGCATGCCGATCATGAATTTGATTTTAGGATGTTTGACGGCGACAAGCTGTGCAAATTTGGGGATTTTCTACAAAAAATAACAATGCAACCCTACTGTTTCCCAAAAATACCAATCATAAGATTTTTGGAAAATTGGGTTTTTAATTTTTTTCGGTTGGTGTTCGAATCAAACTTTTTTTATGCTAGGGTTTGGGATTTACCAACCATGACTGAAAGGAATAAAAATTTTTTTTAAATTTATGTTAACGGACTGAAAAATCCAAATAAAATTATTTTCAATTGATTAAAAATTTTGTGATAGCCTTGAAAAACCATTGCACATCGCCTTTACTTCGGTTTAACACCGCGTGTATATCAATTAGGGAAGATTTGCACGTGTTTAGATGATCGAAAAAATTAATCTATAATTATCGCCAAATCCCGTATTAAACTCGCAAAATATACCCGTTTCGGACCGATGCTCTCATTATTTACTGTTTAGAGTAGGCGGTCTATCGCTTTTGCATACAGGTAGAAGGGTAGTATTATAGCGATGCTCTGATTGGATAATGATAATTAGCAGTCGTCATATGGGCGGATACAATCTCTGCTCTTTACATCGGCAAGTAATTACTCTTTGGGAATTAAGATTTATCGGCGATGTTGACTTCTCTTTGATCAATTGGGAGAGCGAAATGGAATATACACAGCGAAATTTTCGCCTGAATTGCCCTTCACCTGCTCATTGAGTACCTCAATAATACGGTATTTTCATGGATTTTTTTTTTTTTTTTTTTTTTTGGACACGAAAAAACGGTAGGGTCGGTGCATATTATTAGGTAGGGTCGGGTGACCCGAACAAAACAATTTTTTTTTTAGGCCTAATATAAAAACAGTTGATTCATTTATCAAATATAAGAATAATCCTGTCCCCATTTTGTTGTCGTGGATTTATTGCATGCAGTGTATAAAGTATGGTGATAACGTTTGTACACATCTGTGTGGTTAGGTAAAATGATATATGAGCCGCGTCACGACAAAACCAACATAATGGGTTTGCCACCAGCATGGATCCAGACCAGCCTGCACATCCGCGCAGTCTGATCAGGATCCATGCTGTTCGCTTACGAACCCTATTACAAGTAGAGAAACTGATAGCGAACAGCATGGATCCTAATCAGACTGTGCGGATGCGCAGGCTGGTCTGGATCCATGCTGTTCGCAAACCCATTATGTTGGTTTTGTAGTGACACGGCTCATATTTATTTGCTTCAGTCAATCTTTTCTGTAAAAAATCAAATCAATCAGTTAAATTTGATTTATGTTTATGTTAATTGTTCATTTAGATTATGATGCAAGCGGTATGGTGGCTATAAAACTCATTTATGACACAATTTAATAGAATATTAATCAATTTAGCTAATCTGGTAAAATAGAATAAAAGGGCTTGTCTGAAAAGTCGAAATTTTTAAACTAGGAACCTAATGATTTTAAAAGCTTTTGGGAGTAGTATAGTTATGACAACAGCTGTTAAGGCTTTTTGTATTCTTTTCTGGTTAGAAAATAAAAAGTATGAAAATGCTTTGTAATTACAACTGTCAAGGATATTGGCCAGGTTTACCTTAGACTTTATGATGAAGAAATGGTGCCAAAAAAAAGAGGGATTTCCAATTCAAGAGCTTTGTGCCAGACAATTCTACATATTTTTATATGAATTACAAGCCTTTGAATAGCAGACTGATTTTAATTACTATTATTATATATGTTTTGTCTAATACCTACAAAGCTAAAACTAATACAGCAAAACCTTTTGTCACTAGTTTAGCGACAAGCCTCTTTGAACTTGAATTCAGTCTGACCAGACTCTATACTGGCAGCTGCTTAGTGTTAGTATACTGATTATTAAATCCTGTAAATTACGCAACTAACGGTTTATTCCAATGTAAAATCGGGGCATGTCAATCATTCAAAATTTTGCAGTTTAATCGTAGCCAGGTAATTGTGTATGGTCACTATTCTGTTTCATCATTTAGTTGTGCATAGTTTAATGTTGTGTTGTAGTTGTTGAATGATTTGTTACAGGATTTACCTTCTCGAAATCTCGGAAGTGATGATAGCTCAAATAGTCAAGCCGTAAGTCTTACACCATTTCATCTTTTCATTAACCATTATTTATTGATAAACCCATGAACTTTCTTTCTATAGAATAAAAAAAGAAATATTGGGATAGGAGATAACAACTTTGCATTTTAAAATAGACTGTTCTGTAATACTTTAGTTCTATGTATTAAATGACATTACATGATATTTATAGTTATATTATTTTATATCTCCATGTAAAGACCATATATATTTTTTTCTCTGTTATGTACATATATGTTACATATTCATTGCAAACTATCATGATCAGTTTTCAACTTCTATTGTTATACTGTTAGTAAACAGTTGAAATCACAAGTTTTTAAACTTACCAATGATGAAACTGAGGAAAATATTATATTAATATTGCCATTTTATATTTATTATTTACATGATATGAAATTAAAAATATTTAAACTCTGAATAATTTACAGAGAAATCACAGGATAAGTTTTGATGAACTTAAACGCAAAGTATTATCCCTACTTTAATTGATAAACTGTGTTTCATTTTCTACATAAAATTTGCTCCTTTTCATAATATTTGATTTTATATTTGCTCCGACCTTGGCATGCATGTGCTCTTCATTTGCATTATATGATCAGCTGATTTTAAGCTACGCCTACAAAAAAACATACATTGCTGTGATTGGCTTACTTATAGAATGATTTAATGCGGCATGAAGTTGGCATGGAATTTCGTATACTTTTTTTTTAAATTTATATTTTATATCTTAACTTTAAAGCATGGATTCAGAAATTAATTTATTTTACAGTAATATATAGTATCAAAATTATTTAATTTCCTTTGTTTTCTTTTGAAGGATGTATGTGTATAAAATGTTAGTATTTTTTTAGATCATTATATGTATTTAATGTTACAATTATTGGACATCAACAATATATTTAATATTTGAAAATGTTTGGGTTTTGGAAAATATTTCTCAAGTTTATTGCAACAGTGCCATGGTTAAATGGGTTTATAATACAAGTTATGATAAATTTTCATTAAATATAAGTGTCTCAAAGTCATAAATAAAAGTACTTTTACCTGTTGATAAGTTGTGTTGTCCAGTAATGCCATGAATAGTATACTGTGAAGTCATTTGAATTGGAGTTTGACATGTTTAGCCAATAGAAATGAAATTATTTTCAAATAATTGTGGGATAAGACTGTTTTAATTATGGCTTACTATGTGCTAACATTGAGACACAGAAAAAAGAGGGGAAAAAGACTGGCTTAAAAATTACTTGAACATTGACATATTAAATGATTTCACTGTATGCTTGTTAGTTGTTACATACATGTCTTACGCCACTCATTCACTAACAGGAGAGAGACACGGACCCAGAAACCTCCGAAGTTGCCATGGCAACAAGCATAGAGGTGCCAACATTTAACACAGAGCACGTGAAACAACAAGAGGTATACCCAGCACTTCTATTCACTGTTTTCTATTCTTGTTACCAAAGTTGATGCAGTATTATAATAATACACACTGTACCTCTTACTGATCACAACTCACATAATTCATTATTTGCCAGAAGTAACATTATTGTATTTCAATTTTTTTCTTACTCAGTGATGTCTGTGGTATATTTGTGCATTTGGTGAAATAAACGTTTTGCTGTCAATGTATTTGTATCAAGTTGTTAAAGTAAGTGTGCACTATTCACAATGCATAAAAGAAAATAGTTACTAAATGTCTTGTATCTGTATGGTCAGTGTTTCTACAGGCCAGGGTATCTATGGCAACATTAAAACCTTCACCATAAAGATAATTGAAGGATAATTGTAAAAGGCTTGATGTTGTTGTATAGTCTTCAAACATTGTCTCGTGGTTGTGATATATGGGGTCTCGGCAAAATTATTACACATAATGATTAATAATGGTCTGAAATTATTCTAAAAAAGGTTTAGTAAAATATGTAAACTTTGTAAAGTTCCCATAAAGTTTCCAGAATTAAGAAGAAAAAAAAGACTTGTTCTTGAGAGACTGGACAATCACTCTTCATGATTCTTGCAAAGTAATCTTATGATTGTGAAATCTGGGGATTTTAGTGATAATGCACACAAAATAAGTGATTGGAATATTTAATGTAAATAATGAGCTTGGTTTTAGTTTTAAATCATATTCAGCAACTTGGTAAACTGAAACATATTTATGTATATATTATCTTTCTCTTTTTCCTTTTTCTACTTCTGTATCTTTCATATAATCATATAATATATTTCCTTCATTTGATTTATTTTTTTGCAACAAATTATTTGCAGAAGTTACTTTTAGTAAGAGTATACCAACATAATGCTTCATATTGTTCAGTGTCTATTTTAATTAAGTTTACAATCATTAAACATTGTATTTAGCTCAGTTTGACATCCCACATTTATTTTGCTTTGGTTATTATTATTTAATTTAGCTCATTCTGATAAATATATATTTCAAACTTAGCTTTTGTTTACACTGATGCATTCTCATAGGACAGAAGTATTTTTTTTTTAATGTGAAAAAGTAAAAAAAACATTGATAGGAAAAAAAGATTTTTTTTGACTGTACATGATGAATGCATCAGGAGTATTTTTTAAAATGCTTCAAATTATATTGAGCTATTTCCATATAAAAATGTAAAACTGGATATTTGAAAGAAATATTTCAACATACATTTGTGTTCAATGCTTTCTTTACAATTTAAGCAAATGAAAATTTGAAGAAATAAAAGTTTGATATGTCAGTTAAAAAAGATAATATTGATAAATGTGCCATTGTGATAGAAGTTAAGGTATATATCCAGTTTTATTTAGGGCAATATACGTAGCTCTGTAATAAAGCCTGATTGTATCTTGGTGTATGGAATTGTAGACAAATTCTGGTAAATCACACACACATTTACCGAGCACGCCACAGAAACAAGTACACCAAGTACACCAAACTCAGTTTCTAGCCAACCCACAGAAAGCAGTGTCGCGGGAACGTGCGACCTCGTATAAAGAGAAGAAAGAGCGTAAAGAACACCGTCACTTGGAACGTTGTCACAGCATGGGCTTGGCGGATCAGCTGGTCAGTAGACTGGCTCTAGAAAATTTTCTAGAGCACCAGACTGGTACACCCTTCTCTGTCTATTAGACTGGATCCTAAACATTGTATAGACTGCTTCATTTCTTGCACCAACATCTTAGACTGCTACACGGCTTTTTGTTCACTATCACTGCTTTATAATATGCAGCTTACCTACTTTCTTTAACCCTTAACCTGCAGAATTTCTTAAATGGACTTGACCAGTTTCCATTTTATTTTGGACTGTCCATTATAACTGTTGGGGGTATCGGGAATAAAATATTAAGTTAGTCAGCCTATAGTATTTAGCCTCGTCAAACTGCACAGAAGTGCAAGCGTGACTGGCTCAATACTTTTGGTAAAGGCTATTCACTGTCATTACAGAAAGGTAAGGGTTAAATAAAAACTTCTGTACATTTATCATTCTAAACAAATGGTGACTGGTACTGATATTTTATTAATAATATACCATACCAGTTTAGCATTTACATTTTTATTTTGTTTTAAGATTTTGATAAAATGGTGTTTGAGTTAACAATCAATCCCTTTTTATGCTAGTATTGTGCCCTAAACTTTACCATACTGTATGAAAATATGAAATGGAACATATGGACAATGTTGTATTAGATACAGAAATTTAACTCTTAGAAATAATTTTAATTTGGTAAAAAAATAAGATTCTGTGATCTTTGTGGAAGAAAAGGTGTTAGAAATTCTGAATATAAATTAACCTGATATATTCATTAGGAAGTTTATTTATAATTGTAGTCATTTAAGATTTCAATCATTTGAAAATCAAAGAGTGGACAGTTGAATTTTCTGTGTTTAACTGGCTAATTCTATGTCATTTGTGAAATGAACAAGTTCCTAAATCTGTCTGCTTCAATACATGTGTGACACTGGTGTTTTATGCTTTTTGTTTTGTAAAGGTTTAGGATAGGCAATAGAATTTCAATTTTCTATAAACTTTTTGCTGTGTGTTTTGGCTTTTGCTCACATAAGAAAGTTATTAATAAGGAATTTCCTATAAATTATATTAATTTAGGATTCCTATAGTCTTAAAACGTGCTGAAATTTGAGTTCCTTTCATAAAAGTGCTTAAAAATAAAAAAAAGTGCTTAACAGTCCTTAAATTTTATTTCTGTTTTGAAAAATGTTTAAAAAGTGCTTGAACTTGCTGCGAATATGCTTGAAAATGATTGAAAGCGTATCTGTAAAAGTTGAAAGGTAACAAAACAAAAAAACAATCCAATTTAGCACCAAATCAATGATTTTTTTGCTCAACAGTTTGAGGACAAATTTCAGTTGATTCGCACTAGTTTGGGTACTGATATACCATAATTTCGCGGCACCCCTTGTTGTTCTTCTGTAGAAACCCTAAAATGGTAACCAGAAAATACTACACATCTATATTAAAGGGTATACATTACCATATTGAACCAGGATAATAATTATGGTTGCTAGTCATATTACTGATATTTGTTACACTAAGTATGTATATAATGAGAGTAGATGAACAATGACTACAATAAAATATGATGGTCATACTAGAATATTTTAGTTACACTATACATGCAGATATATATTAAAATATCACATAATGTATTATGTATGTTATTTAGCAGTCAAAAATAAAGTTTCCAATATTTTATGACTGTTTTCACATTGGTCACAAATGATCTGTGTGCAACAAATTGTACTTGAAAAATGGGGAAAACATGTTTAAAATGCTTAATTTTGTCATTGGATGTCTTTACAAACCCTGTAATTCATGTGTTGAAATGCAGGAAATTTGAAATAAACACCTTTAGTTTAAGACTTCATGAATTAGAGATGTGTTAGCTTAATGTCCTGCTGGTCGGGTTAGATCGATGACTTATCCAGTACTCTCTGGCGAGTCGATCCCGGATGCTTTGTATTAGCGCGAGGAAGGTTCAGTAGTGTAACTCTCAGAATGATGTTAAGAAACTACCCCCTATAGACTGAATACGTGAAAAAGGTTAATGAAACAAACAACAGCTTAATGTCTCCTGTAGATTTGATATATTAACACATTGCCAATATTAATTATAATGCAAATTTGAATAAACCTATAGTAGATAGTAGAATTAGAAATGTGTTAATGTTATGTCTCCTGCTTAGGATGTAAATATCTACAAGGATTTTTATATTAACACATTTTGCCTAGATAAAATTGATAAACGTAAATGCAGGAAATTTGAAATAAACACCTTTCAGTTAGAAGTATGATTATTATATAATACATTAACACATTTTGCCCAGATATATTTGATTTCTTAAGAATGGTGATAATATTTTAGTAAGATTGTTATTTACTGACTTGCAAAAGTACAATTATTGTATGTTGTTGAGAGAAATATCATATTAGCCAGATCCATATACTTAAGTATTCACTGAAATGTTTCTACAATAACTGTTTAATTATGATGACAGAATTCAAATTCTTCATTTGGTAAATTTTCAAAGTTTTTCCATTTCCTTTGGCACACAAACAAGCCCTATATCAGGGGACTGAAAGCACAAAAGTTTTTTCCCTGTTTTCTGCCAACAATGTCATTTTAAAGAATATAAATGTTCAAAAGAAATTCTAGCAAATATTTTATTCTTGTATATTTAACAAAACACTGTCTGAAACTGTTAATATGTTTAGCTGATGTTTATTTTACGAAATAATGCACTTTCTAAATATCATTGCATATTTTTATGACGTCTTGTTATACCGGTATATCATTTTTTTTCTGGCACTTTAAGTACATGTATATACACTATAATATATGAATGGTGAATTAAGGAAAGTTCAAAATAGTATTTTTATGAGGAGAATATTATGTTATATGAAGTATTAAGACAATAATATATTTTAGATAGTTCACACATGTCATTTGTCAACTGCCATGTTGCTTTGACAGCTACTCAAACTTTTCGTATAACTCTTAAATTGCTTGTCATGTGACTTATAAACATTAATTGCTGTGTGGCAGTGAAAGTCAATTCCATGTGACTCTTTAATTCAGTTCCATGTGACTCATTAATTTAGTTCCATGTGACTCTATAATTCAGTTCCATGTGACTCATTAATTCAGTTCCATGTGACTCATTAATTTAATTCCATGTGACTTTAATTCAATTCCATTTGACTCTTTAATTCAGATCCATGTTCATTAGAGTTAAGTTTTGTGACTAATTATTTTGCTTTTTACATCAATTACTATATTACCATTTAATTCAGCCTTGAATGCTAACAGATAGTGACTTGTGAGAGTAATTGACTGTAACATAAATTGAGATACAAGTACTTATACCTGAGACATTCAAGTGACTCTAATCCAACATTTGACCTGTTATTCACATGTTGCTCTTACGTTAGTTTTGTTATGAATTTTCTTACAAAATTAATACATATACCAGTCAATATGACGATATGATGTATACATTAAGAAGTATATGATGTAGTATCTCCACATACCTGTATACTTACATTTGATGTTACATACATTATTTATGTTCCTAACCTCATTGTTACACATACTCAGTCATACAACATACATTGTATATACATGTAAGACAGGTAAATATCGTGTCACTAATTGGTACTTTATGTAAGGTCTCAAGATTATATGATGATCAACTATTCTGTAACTATTCTTGCCTTTGTATTTTCCTTGAAATATCATACTATTGTGTCAATCTGTTGTGTAGCTTAAGCTCATTGTGTAATTATACTGTAAATATACAAGTCATATATCTTAAAAAAGAAATATGATATAAAAAAAAACACATTTTATTATTATAATTGTACTCACAGCTTATACATTAACTTTAACCTTTTACTCAGCTCAACTTTAAAAGTTAAGTTATTAAAGATTAGTGATAGATTTGTTCAAATTTGGTTGTAAATAACCCATATTAAATAAGTTAAAGGATTATAACGTCATACATCTTAAAATTTGAGCAGCCCTGCTAAGTTGTTGGGATAAGAAGACTGTTTCAGCTATAAATTTTTGGCAGATGCCTGACTTTACTCAGCTAAAGTTAAGTAAATAACTTGTGTAAATTTCATTGTCAATAATCTATGTGTAATAAATATAGTTTAAAGGATTCTTAAATATGAGCAGCCACACTTTGTAGTTGGATCAGACTTTACTGATAAAAGAAATTGTAACTGATATGTGTTCCTTGCATTTGTGAGTTAGAACCCCTGTACAGTGCACTTCCAATCTTTTTATTATTTCCATGTTTTAATTCCACAACCAGTTTAAGCACTTGATGACCATAAGTTAAGTTAATAACTCACAGTTCTGACAAATTCTTTTTACATATGCTTCAATATATTAATATATATATCACCAATATGGTAAAGTGTTTTATCTGTTTTCATGAAGATGATAGAATTATAAGAGAATATTGAGAATTAGTTGGCATTGCTACAGAATGGTCAATGATTCAAACCACTAATCTTATTGTTAATTGCCTGAAGGAATAAACTGAAAATAAACCCTATTTTAATCTAAAAACATAATACTCATTTATCCAGTTCACCCGAATAATTATTGTATTTTCCCACAAATTGTATATTAGTTATTGTATTATTTTATTACAATATTTTAACACACTATTATAAAAATGTAAATTTATATATGTATGAAAAGTTTTGTCATAATTTGGCACACAAACCCTATTATGTATAAATTATGTTATAAAGAGTTAAAGAAGATGAAAGCTAGTTATGCCTTTATGTTTTTGATGTGTTGTTTTTATATTTGATGATTATTTTGATATATTTATATTGATTGCACTAAGGGAGATAAGCATGAGAACTTTAGCATGGTCTTTGTATTTGATGTGTTTTAATTTATATCTATTTTATGATTTTTTTCTATGGTATGAGCATGAAACTTTTAGGTTATTGTCTTTTTTGGGAAAAAATATCGATTTTTTATCTGAATGCATATTTGACTTTAATAAATTAAATTACAAAATTATTATTTTTACTTATGAATGATGATTGATAACTGGTTTTTAACAGCAATGATACTGCTTGACAAATTTCTCATTCAAGATTGCTTCTTCATTTTTTAAAATCATGTGTATTTTGTAATGATAAGTTTTGAATGCTTAAACTTTTCATAGATCATCTTATAGCTGCATGACATGCTACTGATAACTTTCACTGCTTTCTATTGGCCCGTCATGTCATTAGGTAAGTTTTTAAGGATTTCATTACCCTGACAAATTTAGAGGATTTTCCCAAAGTCATTACGTTTTGAATATTAAGGTGTAAATCTTAAACAGTGTCTCAATGCAGCCTCATGTACATTATCAGATTTTATTTGATTAATTTGATGTATTTTTACTTGCAGCCACGTAAAGCGTTACTGGACCAGTTAAGTTTGGTACTGGGAGGCTCAGATGATAAACTTCCTGACAGTTTACTTTTAGTCAATACAGCAGAATGGCAGGGTCAGGTAAGTGCTATAATATCAAATTGACATAATCAGTTAGTTATAATACAACAGAATGGCAAGTTCATTTAGTGAAATTAACAGCAAAAAGGCAGGTTGTGTTATGTGCTATAACAGTAGAATGGCAGGGTCATTTAGTGATAGTAACAACAAAATAGCAGGTTGTGGTAAGTTATAATACAGCAGAATGGCAAGGTTAGTAAGTTACAATACTACATAAAGGCAGGTCTGTAAGTTATAATACATAATGGCAGGGTCTGTAAGTTATAAAACTACATAATAGCAGGATCTGTAAGTTATAATACTACATAATGGCAGGGTCTGTAAGTTATAATACTGCATAATGGCAGGGTCTGTGAGTTATAATACTACATAATGGCAGGGTCTGTAAGTTATAATACTACATAATGGCAGGTTCTGTAAGTTATAATACTACATAATGGCAGGGTCTGTAAGTTATAATACTACATAATGGCAGGGTCTGTAAGTTATAATACTACATAATGGCAGGGTCTGTAAGTTATAATACTGCATAATGGCATGATCAGTAAATTATGATATTACATAATGGCAGGGTCTGTGAGTTATAATACTACATAATGGCAGGGTCTGTAAGTTATAATACTACATAATGGCAGGGTCTGTAAGTTATAATACTACATAATGGCTGGGTCTGTAAGTTAAAATACTACATAATGGCAGGGTCTGTAAGTTATAATACTGCATAATGGCATGATCAGTAAATTATGATATTACATAATGGCAGGGTCTGTGAGTTATAATACTACATAATGGCAGGGTCTGTAAGTTATAATACTACATAATGGCAGGGTCTGTAAGTTATAATACTACATAATGGCAGGGTCTGTAAGTTATAATACTACATAATGGCAGGGTCTGTAAGTTATAATACTACATAATGGCTGGGTCTGTAAGTTAAAATACTACATAATGTTTTGTTTGTTTGTTTAATTGGGTTTTACGTCACACCAACTCATTATAGGTCATATGACGACTTTCCAGCTTTACTGACGGAAAAAGATCTCAGGTACCCTTTTGTGCTAATATTATTTCAGGCACGAACGGGCTCCTGAGTAGAACCACTGACATTCTGTAAGCTAGCTGGATACTAGTAGCTTCCTCACATGAAAGAATTCAAATTCATGTCGGGATTCGAACCCACAGCGATGAGAGGCAAGTGGTTTAAAGTCAACAACCTTAGCCACTCGGCCACAGACGCCCCTACTACATTATGTCAGGGTCTGTAAGTTATAATACAGCAAAATGACACAGTCAGTAAGTTATACATTATAACATAAAATGCTAAAAATTTTATTTGATAACTTAAGTTTGGTGGTTCTACCAAGATGTTTATTAAGGCTATGGCACCTTAGTTTTGACTGTTTGATTTGGCCTGTTTGTATCTGGAATTGTCTAATGTAAGTTTTAAGGAATTAACTTATAAAATCAGCTAACAATATAGAGTCATGACTGATTGCAAAGAATTGCAGGTTGGCCTGTCTTTGTACGTTTGGCATAGATATATTCCTGCTTACACTGATTACTTGTGTCTCCCTACAGTCACTGTAATTATAATATCAACTTTGTTGATGTAACATAACACCAAACTAATATTAACAACTTCATTATTGTGAAGGCAATATTATTGTTCAAGTTAATATAACTTTCCCTAATGATGATTATATTTTCCATATTTTATGAAGCATCCCTTTAAAGTAATGGATGAGTCATGAATGGATTACACTCTAATACTTCCTATTTTTAATTCTGATTTGCTTCAATGATGCCTCATACTCCATAATTTGAATTTTGAGAAGCCATAATGTGCCCTTAAAGATTGAATTATGCTTTATTTGAGCCGTGTCATGATGAAACCAACGTTATGCGTTTGCGACCAGCATGGATCCAGACCAGCCTGCGCAGTCTGATCAGGATCCATGCTGTTCGCTATCAGTTTCTTTACTTGTAATAATGTTGGTAAGCGAACAGCATGGATCCTGATCAGACTGCGCGGATGCGCAGGCTGGTCTGGATCCATGCTGGTCGCAAACGCATTACGTTGGTTTTGTCATGACACGGCTCATTTCAATTTCTATAAACTGATATTACAGTCTTGTCAAAAAATAAAAATAATTACACTGACAGTTATGTAGAAAAGATACTATGCCCTAATTAATTATAATTAATCAATTAATTAATTACTCAAGTGAAGTAAGTACATTTACATATATGTCTCTGGTTCAACAGTTACTGTTGTTATATTACAGTTATTAGTTCAGAAGTTACAAGAGAAACAGTTGAGGATGATTTGTACATGTTCTGATGCAGATGTTAGAGCTACAGTCAACTTTCTTGTCTCAAAAATACAAAAATTGTGAGTATGAGTTTATCTATCTACACACATATATGTTTTCTTCAGAAACAATTATCTATTGTATTCATCAATTTTCAATGTTGTTCCAGATATTTCCTTTAAATGAAGTTATACTGTGACTTTTACAAATGGCACAACCATTGTAAAAAAGATACAAATGACCTAAACCAGATGTTACGTAGTTTCACATGTATTGATTTAAGTTACTTTGTCAATTTAGGTGACTGGTGCTGACCTGTTTTTGTTCCGGTGACATATATTGTACTGTTACATTATATTAGAGTTTAGAATAGGAGATGGTACAGTTAATTGTTTTTAATGTAATCTGTGAACTAATTTTAGGAGAGAATCATGTGACAGATTATTGTTAACTAAATTAAAGATTGGGTGGCTTTTAACATTTATATAAGTAAACTTTTATGAATAACAAAGCTAAACATGTATATGTATATTTTCCAGTTGTAATTATAATTCTCGTAGTCCACATGCTGCGAAGATAGGTATAGCTGGTGGGGATGGCTTCATCAATTCAGTATTACGTCCGTATGTCGAACAATTTTCAGCAAAGTCACCAGATTGGCAGACATATGTCAAGTTTCTCATTATACCATTTGGTAAGTAATATATATTACAAACATTCAGCTGATTGACATTTGTGTATTGACAGGAATATTTGCATGCAGCATCAGATTATATTTAACTGAGTCATATTAGGTGTACGAGGGTTGTTTAGAAAGAAATTTGACTCAGAGTTTTGGGTCTTCATATATCATTGAATTTAGAATATTTTCATATGTAAGCCGATGGTGAAAATGCTTTCTTCAATTTGTGCATAAGCTTATTTAAAATATTGTGCTAAGCATGTGTCCCTGTGATATTAAATATTCATGGTAACACACACTCGGCGTAGTGCATCAAAAAAGCTTTGAAGCTCAGTTGTACACGGTTGTTGCTTACTGTTTAATATCAGCAATTTGCTGTCTCCTTTTCCATATTTTCCACTAACATGTTTGATTATTTTTAAGTGACATTTTATCTAAATTTGACGCTATTCACACATGAAATAGCTAAGAAATTAAGTTTTGAACAGCAGTGGTTATAGCGTAAAATGTAGAAATATGGCTTATTTTGAAAAATTGGAAATTTTTGCAATCGTATTTTACAAAGAGATTGGCCATACTCTCAGCTACATACAAAAATATTAAATTAACACAGGGTAGTTAATCAGCCCTCATAGCACTCAGTTACAGCTTGTGCAAGCAATTCAAATATGGTGAGTACAAGATTACATACAGGAAAAAGAGCGGAAGAAAGCTGGAAATTTTCTGGACGTTAGCCACATCAGTGGAATTTTGATTCTTATCAGTTCTGGCCAATGAATTGAAAATGATACATAGAGGATATTTGTTTAGTTCAGTGTAAGATCAGAATATATTTCACCGAGTGAGCACCAAAAGGTATATTTCACGAGTGGCGCAGCCACGAGTGAAATATGAACTTTTTGTGTTCACGAGGTGAAATATATTTCGATCTTACATTAAACTAGACAAATTTTCTTTTTATAATATGCAAAAAACGTTTAAAAATACGTTTTAACCTAGTACTAAATGAAAAGGGCGCCAAATAATAATTTACGACGTCACGTAATTAAGTTGGTTTCCAGTACTGAGAACGCTAGTATTTCATTAAAACAACGCAACGGGCTCAAATATTTCAAACAGTGAGATTACCAGTTTTTATTTCACTGATATTTTTCTATAAACCACCGAAAAGCATGTAATAAATGTGTTTTAAACTCTGAAGTAGATATATGTGTTTGCAATAAATTGTATGATATTCTCAATATGGTTTAATTTATGAAAGCCTGTGTTCAGTAGAAGAGAATTGTTTTGAAATGATAATTGAATGTACATATTCATATATTTTAAAAACTGACAATGGCATGTTTATTAATATCACAAATCATTATTATGTCGAGGCAGTATATGTGAGGTAGTGGCATAGATGTATAGGGAACAAGTGTTGATTGGCTGGCTAATGGGTCATTTTTTCAGAAAGTAGAGCAAAAATGTGATCTCTTCCTTTCTCACTTCATTTCCAGAAATGAAGCCTGGTTATAGTTGCATGATTTAGACGCCCTTCAGCACCAGAAAGAATACTTAAGAAATAATGACACTCGTTTGACACTATGTATTTATTTTGCGACGTCATGAACATCATTTGAGCCGCGTCACGACGAAACCAACATAGTGGGTTTGCGACCAGCATGGATCCAGACCAGCCTGCGCATACGCGCAGTCTGATCAGGATCCATGATGTTGGCTATCAGTTTCTCTACATGTAATAGTTGATAAGTGAACAGCATAGATCCTGATCAGACTGTGCTGATGCGCAGGCTGGTCTGGATCCATGCTGGTTGCAAACCCATTATGTTGGTTTTGTCATGACATGGCTCATTTATTGTATTGTTAGCATACTCCTTGTCAGTTGTAATTTTCTCAAAATTGTTATTTGTAAACATATTGCAGTGTTCCTCAAATTTAAACAGTAAAGCTGTAGTCCTATTACATCTTGAATAACATTCGTTTTATCACGTATGCATATTATAAATGTCAGATTGTAAAGTAATATATTAAGAAAAAATTTATTAGTACAGTTTGGCCTTTTAAAAAGACATGCATATTAACAGGAATAGTTACCTTATGTATCTGATAATTTATTATTATCACATGATGAAACTTGTTTTTAATAAATGTCAGTTTAGTTTGTAAGAAGCATTTGTTTTTATTTGATTGGCCTCTGAGAAAAAGCTAAGAACTGTATAATGACAGTGATGGTTGCATGTTTATTATGATTAATTAATTTCTTTATAAAATTGTAACATTATGTGTTTTACATGACTGTATCATTAGAAAGTTTTGCTTTTCTAAATGTTAAATGTCTTGGAAGTGTCCTAGAAGAGGACCAGCTGTTAGGACCAATATCAGCTCTAAGATTGTATATTAAAGGAAAAAAATATCTCGACAATCATTGCCCAGAAAATTTGTTGACCACATGTATCTAATAATGGTGATGAGACCATAAAATATTGTAGTAAATAAAGCTGAAGCATTGTTTGTATTTATATTGCAGGTTCAAGTGCTGTTGGGAAATATTTAGCACATATAGATAATACATACAACTCTTTATTTGGTGACTGGATGTGGAAAGACACATTTGAAAGAACTGATTCTTCATCGAATAAATTAGGTTTGATTTACTTATTGCAAAAAAAAACAAAAACCATCTGGTGAACTTAGTTTGCTATTTTGTTTTGACAAGCATAGGAGCTATTAACCGTTTCCCTAAATATATAAATTCTTTTGATATATAGTTTTCAGTGTGTTTATGACTTCATCGATGCTTTATTCGTAAGAATAGATGAAGAAATCATATATTTACGGCAGGTTTCTCCTTCAAATTGTGGTAAAAAAATTACAACTTATATTGGTGTCACACCTCATGTTGGTCACACTGTAGTAATGAATCTGGTTGTAAATTCTAATTGCCTTAAATTTCTTCTTCCTTACAATCATATAACATAGATTGTATGTGATTCAAGAACTTAAACTTGATCAATGTGCCGAAAAAAAAGAAACTTAAAGATATACTGTACTCATCATTGAGTGAAATATTTTAATTATTATTGAAATCTATAAAATTCTTACTTAGTATTTAAACATATTTACAAAGAGACTGTGTAGCAATTATCAATATTTTTGTATATCAAATTTGAGCATAGTATATGAGCCGCGTCACTACAAAACCAAAATAATGGGTTTGCGACCAGCATTGGTCCAGACCAGCCTGCACATCCGCGTTGTCTGATCAGGATCCATGCTGTTCGCTATCAGTTTCTCTACTTGTTAAAGGGTTTGTAAGCGAACAGCATGGATCCTGATCAGACTGCGCGAATGTGCAGGCTGGTCTGGATCCATGCTGGTCGCAAATGCATTACGTTGGCTTTGTCATGACACGGCTCAAATGTTTTAACTTGGTTGTTTTAGAACAAGATCAAGTGTATGGTAGAATATCAAAGTATCTGTCATCCGCTGGCGGTATTGTACAGATCCCTATTGCAGAAGCTATGGTTATGTGTAGAGGGAAAGGGTATGTACATATAATGTATATACAAATGTAGTAAAGTTATAATAGGAAACAATTAACTCTGTATTTTGTCAATTCTTTATATTGAACGTCTTGAAAATACGTAATCTAACAATGTTGAGAATTATATTAGCATGCTGAAATGCATTGGTCTATTATGACTGTAAAACTGCTAAATACAGTTTTATTATTTTAGAGTGTTAATTTTGAGGTGTTTTAATCAATTTATTATGGTTACTTTATAATTGTGCTAATGATGTTTTTAATATGTGAATATTTATTAATTTTGAGTATGTTTGATTAAAGATAAATGAAGGTTTGAATTGAGGTGTATATTTATATTATTAAAAAAATTGATTTAATTACAAAACATCTGAACAGTAAAAAATGAATTATTATTATATAGAAATATTGCAATAAACAAATATATCTTTTTGTTCTACATGGAAGAGAATCAATAAAACTATGTTGAACTATAGTGAGCAGAGAAGAACATCATGTATTTGTTTTATTGATATCACATATCTGATGACATTCAAACTTTAGTTATACTAAAGTACACTCAAGCATGCAGTCTGTTTAATAAGGAGAAGGTATAAGGTGTGGTATAATATTTTATAATGATGATTGGAGCCGCTTCACAACAAAACTAACGTAATGCGTTTGCAACCAGCATGGATCCAGACCAGCCTGCGCATCCGTGCAGTCCAAAGAGAAACTGATAGCAAACAGCATGGATCCTGATCAGACTGCGCTGATGCACAGCTGGTCTGGATCCATGCTGGTCGCAAACGCACCATGTTGGTTTTGTCGTGACCCGGCTTATTTCTTGATTCATTTTATGGTTGGTTTATGATGACTATATGATTTTGTTGTTGTAGAAGTGAGGAGGAGTCATGTCAGGTGTTTGTCCCATTCCTTTGTGTGAGTGCTTTATTGTCACATAATTGATATTAATGTGTAATGACATAATTATTTATCGGCAAGCACAATTAATGCAGTTTTTATTCTAATATACATGTACTAATAAATAAATGACAGTATAAGATTCTGGACATGGATTAAAATATACTTCGTATGATATTATGAGAAAAGATTCAGAATTCATGAATAAATTGGAAAACACAAGAAATAGTTTTGAGTAAATACATATAAAAGCTTCTTGTTTTCAAATTGGCTTCAGAAGTTGAGAATTATACATGATCAAGTAGTGACATGATTGTCTTGAATACTTCAGTACATGAACCATAACATTTAAAAAAAAGAAATTGCATAAATTTTCATCAGTCATTACAGATGACTTTAGGGGAATGTTGGTAATTTTATTTTCATGAGATACCACAACTTATACATAAATTACCCCTTTCTTAAAGAAACAATTTGTTCTTCAATATGCTAGGTGGCTGGACCTTAATTTTATAATCATGTTTATTTTAAGTTTTTTTCAATTTATTTGAGGCATTTTTTTCCCAACAAACAAAATGTGGTTATGTGAATTGTGTAGATATAGCAACAATTATATGTAACATATAAAACGTTTATATCCAGGAGGTGAAGATAGGTACCTCTGATGTGTTGATGACCTCCATGGATATGGATGACAGTATACCACAGCCGTCCTTGTCTAGCTCCCCTCCACAACAAAATGTCAGCAATTTAGATAAAAATACTCCTCCCAACTCACCTAATGTTAGTGGATCAGCTCCTTTTGTAGGGTATGTAGCTTAACTACTCTCTTTTATAAATCTATTAAGACAACCATATTACAGCAGAGTTATTATTTTGTATCAGATTGGAGATCCATATCATGGGTTAAAATGCTGTGAAAATCCGTTGTATTTTCAGTCTGTAGATTAAAATATCCCACTTGGCCAAATTGGTTGTTTTCGTTGGCACATCTGTTGCCTCAGATAAAAATGAAACCCATGTGACAGTGTCAGCTGAATACAATTTATTTGTCAAAACAAGAAGAATGCATTATTCAATTTTAAGCTTTAATTAAGTTGAAAAGTTTTTGCTGTTGTCATTTTTCAAATTTATTCTTTTATTATGTTGATAGTTTTTGTTTGATTTGATAAAGTTTCGTATAATGAAGCTTTTATAAAAGGGATGTTAGGTTGTATTTTCTTAAGATGTGTCCTCTTTTATACCTGAAATAAAGTTTAGAGAGGTTCTACATCACCACATAACTTTGATAATATTACTGTAAATCTAATGAATTTTGTAACCGGTCTTTCAGAGTGACGCCACCTTCAGCGTCGGGCTCCTATTCACCAAGAGAGTATGTTGAACTTCAAGTAGATTACTGGACCATGGTTAATAAGACAGAATCGTCAGACAAAGTTGATAAATCCAGTAAGAAGGACAGTAACAAGTCCTCGCTAAAGTCTGTGTTCAAATCATTACAAGTTGTCCGTCTGTCTCCTCAACATTTACTCCCATCTCTGGCAGACAATCAGACAGTACCATTTGCATTAACAGTTGTCACACGAGAAAAGAAACAGAAAAGTATGATTTTGTTTGTTGTTGTTGTTAAGGATAAACACATGAATGAACAGCAAGTGTTTTCAACCAGGGTGATTCCTGGATGAGTTGTTAAGAATATAATTTCATAGAAATTTATTGCTTTGAATTAGCAGCAGGTTTTTCCATGCTGGGTGTTTCCTAGATTGTTTTTGTGTGTATAAAATAGAATTACTATTCATGGATGATAAGTTATATTATGATGTGCTAGGTTGTATAACAATACATACATATGTAAGAAGGATGGGAAGAAGAGTTTTAACACTTACTTTTTGCTGAAATCTTTGTATAAACATCTTAAAATGTGATATCAGTTGAACATTTTGAGTTGAATATGTAAATGATAGCAGTTGTTGTATGATGAATATTGTTGACGGCAGATGCCATCATTTGTAATTATGAAAGTAAATTGTTATGAAATTTAATCAATAAGGCAATGACTTTGGCCCTAATTACCTTTTATGGAACTGAGGCCAGGGGCACTCAGGATAATTTCACATCAATTTCAAGAAAAAAGGGAAATTTTGTCTGCCAACAACAGTAATATTAAATATTACTTCTTTTATTTTGCATAAAAAGATATTATTTAGGCTCTCCTGCTTTAGACAAGTAAGAATGAAAATGTATATATATTGAGGTTTTTTATAAATAGGGGAAAAATATAAACCGTATTAACTGGAGACAGGGAGGCCCAAAGTCATGAAATCAGGGCCTCCTTATCTTTACAAGATTTTATTATTTAGCATATGCTTTGTTGAACACAGATTTAAGAAGATTTTGATTTATTTTTCAGTACGAATTGGAAAGAAGTCAAAAGAAGAGTCAAAAACATCAACGTATGAAGGCATAAGCAGACTGATATGTACCTCCAAAAGTCTTAACCAGTCACTTAAAGGTACTGTGCTAGAACACAGTTTTGAGGGGTTTGGGCTCCAAAGTTTTATGGGAAAAATGTTGAAAAATAATTAAGTTTTAAAACCGGCATGAATTTAGTTTGCAGATATTTATCATTGCTTTGTGTAAAAATGGTTGAGATTTTGGTTCATAAAGTGCAAAACGAAGTATCTTTCTGTGACAGCAAATGTTTTCCAGGATGATTTTATGTTGATATTTATCGACTTTAATATTAGGTGATCATAACCGTATAAATATTTGCAATTATCCCCCGCCGATAGATCGGGGGATATAGTGTTTTGGCGTTGTCAGTCTGTCCGTCCTTCGATCCGTCCGTCCGTCTGAATTTCGTTTCCGGACTAGTTCTCTGCAACTACTGGCTGAAATTCAACGAAACTTTATGGGAATCATCAATATCAAGAGGAGATGCGCATATCGTCAGCTTGTTCCGGTCAGACACTTTAACTCAGAGTTATGGCCCTTGATTAGTTATGCAGTATGCATATACAGCAAAAATCGTTTCCGAACTACTTTTCTGCAACTACTGGCTGGAATTCAACAAAACTTTATGGGAACCTTCAATACCAAGAGGAGATGCGCATATCGTCAGCTTGTTCCGGTCAGACACTTTAACTCAGAGTTATGGCCCTTGATTAGTTATGCAGTATGCATATAGAACATAATATTCGTTTCCGCACTACTTCTCTGCAACTACTGGCTGGAATTCAATGAAACTTTATGGAACCTTAAATACCAAGAGGAGATGCGTATATCATCGCCTTGTTCCGGTCAGACACTTTAACTTAGAGTTATGGCCCTTGATTATTTATGCAGTATGCAACCAGAGCAATAATCGTTTCCGTGCTACTTCTCTGTAACTACTGGCTGGAATTCAACGAAACTTTATGGGAACCTTCAATACCAAGAGGAGATGTGCATATAGTCACCTTGTTCCGGTCAGACACTTTAACTCAGAGTTTTGGCCCTTGATTAGTTATGTAGTATGCATATAGAGCAATATTGCTATTTCTTTGCAACTGCTGTATTGATTTCAACAAAACTTTATGGCAACCATGGATACACAAAGGCAATTTACATCTCATTGGCATGTCCAGATATTACTATCTAACACAGAGTTATGGCTCTGTTATTGCCCTGAATATTTATCAAGTACAAAGAATATTACTGTTTATGCCATGATGAATATATAAATAAAGCCTTATGTCTTCAGTTGTTGTGTTAGTAATAACCAGTACTCAACGGGGGATATAAATTCAACTTTTATCTTGATATATTATAGATATAGAAATTGTGAAATGTTTCTATTTACAGTGACAGTGGATGGTGTAGACTGGGTCGGTGTTAAATTCTTCCAGCTGTCCTCACAATGGCAAACACACATCAAACATTTCCCTGTGTGTACTTTTACAACAGACATTGGACCAGTCACATGATGAGACTTGGTTGCCATGGAAACAGACACTCATTATTAGTTATTGTAATTTGGTGGGCACGTTCATTTGTGTAATGCAATAAGGAAAGTAGAAGTTACAAAGTAGAAATGATTACAGTAAACTTCACTTATAGCGAACACGGTTATAGCGAACTTCCGGTTATAAGGAACAATTTATTTTGGCCCGAATTATGCCCTTCTTTATTTAATATGAAAATATACGGTTATAGCGAACACGGTTATAAGGAATTATCGCTTATAAGGAACTCATTTCTTAGTCCCAATTTAGTTAAAAGTGCATAAAATCACACTTTTATAACGAACTCCAAATATCGGCTATTCGTAAATATATCCTGCATTTTCAACTTTCGTTTTCATTGGCACGGAATAAAACACGCGGAATGTACCGTTTATTGCTGTATGTACAATGTAATTCAATGAAAATGAATTTTAATAGAAGTATGTAATAGTTTTCTATTTAGGATATTTTTAGCTTGAGTTCATGTCACAAAGATAAAACGGTAATTCCCTTTATTCTATAATTTCTTTTCTTTAATAGTTTTGCTCGAGTAAAATAATTATCGGTTTTCAACATAATCACGCATGCTTTAGAAAACTACAAAGTATGCAAAAGAAATCTATACATTTCGTTAGTTAAAGTCACCCTTTAAATACAATAGAAGATATTCAATATAAAAGGAAGAAAAATGGAAAATCTTGTTTATTCTTTTTCATTGAAAGAAAACGAAAAGCACTGAGTTAAGAAACAAAATATGATGTTTTATGAAAAATTGAGAAAGGGAGTAAAACTAAAACTGAAATAGCAAAGGATTTTCAAATTCCAAAATGTACGCTCTCGGGTATTGTGTGTAAAAAAAAAAAAGACTAATTATTCTTAATCAAATGCTCTTAAAAATGGCGGACAATGTTTAACAATCAGTTCGTTATATGTAAATCTGTTCGCTATAAAAACTCCTGATACAAGGAATTAATTCGCTATATGCTTACAAGGAACTCCGGATATAAGGAACAGATTTTGAATGTCCCAATGAGTTCGTTATAAGCGGAGTTTACTGTAATTAGATAAATCAAGCAAACAAATTATTAAATGTAACAAATTTCTCAAACCTTGTTATTACCGCCATATTGTTTAGAAAATCATTAACACATTAACAACTGTAACAATTTAAGTCTTTTATTTTTACAAGCATCCATTTTAATTCAATGATCATATACTATGTTAACTGTAGTTTGAAGTAGAATGTGCTCATGTTTTTGAAGACCATAATTGCACAAGTGAACCCGCTCAGTAACAACAGATCTGACCTTATGTAGGTAGACAGGGTGTGTATATAGGTTGTCATAGAAACATTGTTGCCATCCATTTTAAAAATACAAAGAAAGCATTATTGTGTAAGATAGAAGCAATACTTGCCATATAGAAGTACATCTTTCTCTAGAGTGAGATGATTTGATTAACAAGTTTCATTTTTCTACATTTCACTTTAGCCAAATATGTGATTTTCTTCCATCTGTCATTATGTATTACTAAAATCTTGAAGTAAAGTCAACAAAAAGCTATTTTTCTTTTTGAAAATTCTTCCTGTTTTCATAATGATAATTAGTATTTATTTATACACCCTAAATACTGTTCAAAGAAAATGTAATATACATGTGAACTTGACTAGTTCTATATTTTTAGGGTTGAAAATTACAAGCTTGATTGACTGAAGTGAAATGTCAAAAAAATGAAATACAAGACTGTGTTTAACTGTTGTTGCTTTAAGTGTTTGTGTACATGTAAATAGTTTATTTCTATGTAGAATTATAGAAGTGTTACTGAAGAACCTATCCATTCTATCATGTTAATATGACGTGAGTGCAATGTGAAACTACTAATCTCTGTGATATCTTTCTTGTTTGTTTGTGTTCTTTTTTTAAAATCTTTAAGAGGACAGTTTGCTGTAATTATTTGAGCTGCGTCACAACAAAGCCAACATTATGGGTTTGCGACCAGCATGGATCCAGACCAGCCTGCGCATCCGCACAGTCTGATCAGGATCCATGCTGTTCGCTGTCAGTTTCTCCACTTGTAATAGAGTTGGTAAGCGAACAGCATGGATCCTGATCAGGTTTTGTCGTGACGCGGCTCAAATGACTGTCTGTAACAATGCCCTAATAATGTTATTTTTATCATGGACTTTTGGAAACTGTCCATGATAAATTTTTAAGATATCTTCATGAAAATTTGAAGGCAGTCAGTCAACAGTATAGAGCCAGGTCAGACTGTACAGATATGCAGTTAGTCTGGCTCTTTACTGGTTAGAAACGGCTTCCAGTTCTAGCAAAATAAATTTAAATTGTAAATGTGTAAATTTTTGAAAAAAATGGTCTTTATACACAGAATTTTATGAAAATATTTCTTCCAATTAAGGTTGTGTTAAGAGTCCTTCTATGCCTTCTTTGAATTATTATAAACAAATAATCATCTTCTCTTGAAAATCTTGGTGTAATAGATGCTTATAAAGTTTTTAATGTTTAGGTATTAAAATAGCTTGAATTTCTATCAAGTCATATATGTATATGCATGTATAATACTTAATGTCCTATGTTACCAAAAGTTTCAGAAGAAATTGAATTTATTTGCCATTAACTGTTTTGAAAAGTTAATCTAATTATTAGTTTTCCGGCTATAAAGAGTGCAAATTAAATTTTCTGATTAAAATAAATGTTTGGAAAGAGTGAAAACTTAAGATATATAAGAGCAAAGCTATCAAGTTTTTGGTAAACTGAGACTAACTGAGTTGTGTAGAGTAGACGGTAATTCACTTGGAATTATTTAATCATCCACGTTAACGTGTGAATTGTGTTTCAAGATCATACCACTAATAATACTGCCAGCAGTATCATGTTTTCATTTTTCTACAGAGGTCAGTGCTTGAATGAACTTTGACCTCATTCTTCCTTCATTTCTCATTTTGTTTTTGTTTTGTTTATTGCCAGAAATGATAATACACCTTGTTTTTGTTTGATAATATGGTGGTGTATTTGTTAAAGTTATGTATAATTTGGAACTAGTGTATTATAACTGTATCAAATAAAATTGATAGTGGTTGTATATGAAGCCAGTGTATTTTTTTTTTTACTTTTTAAAAAAAATTTTTATATGCTAACTTGTTTGGGTTTTTTTTTTAAATTTTCAATTGAATAGTTTAGCTAAAAATGTTTTGTTATACATTGATGTTTTCTGTGACAGACTATTGAAAACAGTTTATGTTAGTTTACAATAGACAGTGTGAGTCAGTGTATGAAGTGGCCTATATATATTTTTTACTACTGAGTACAAAATTGTGTTGACAACAATAATCAAAAGTATGTAGTGGTAATGCATGAATTTAAAAAGGGGAAATAAACTTATGTTAGCAATTCTGATTATCTAAAGGTGTAACTTACTAGTCATGTTTGTAAAACACTCATTCTAAAAGTATTGTTTAGAAAAAGGCATTTTGTATGAAAATACTTTGTTCTCTATCTGATTTTCCAATCAAATGAGATACATTTTTAGCTATATTAAAGGATTGGAAACACTTTTGTAAATAGGAAACATGCCTGAAATTGAAGAGAAATTTATGGTCAATAACAAGTTTGTTACAAAGTATAATTATATATTTAAATGCCTAAAATGTTTTAGAATTGTTGTCTTATATCCATCTGTATTGAATGTTTTTTTTTTCCTCGTACCAAAGTTAGCATACTATTCTGGTATGTAAACAATGTGTTCAGTTTAAAAGGTGCTTGTTTAATTGCACATAATGTGCATAAGGATCAACTTTAAATTTTAGTATATGTTTATAAATTGTTTGCCATTTTCACAGTTAATCTGTCAACTTTGTACTTAAGTCAACCTGTCATATTGGAAATATTAAAGTGACATTATGCTCATATTTTCATAGTCAAGTTGAGCTGAACTGACTATATATTTCAAAAGATTGACTGTTAAGATATTGTTTGACCAACACTTCATATTGGAAAATGTTTACGATAAAACTTAAATCTGCCTAAAATAAAAAGACTGCCCCACTCTTTTTTATGAAATGAACGTAAAAGGTAAATTCTAATGGATATTTACGAAAATTTCGTTTGAATCCATGCGTTGTTTATTGTCAATGTGAAATAAATCTTTATATTTAAAGCAATTATGGCAAAATGAAAGCTTATCTTGACATTTACTTGTTCACTCATTTTTACCCTAGGATGGGCATGATGTCACTTTAAATTAATAATGTATTAAAAACAAGAGAAAAATTTTGATGATAACTAGTTTTCATGTAAATTGATATGAATTGAATTCCCTGGATTGTTTAAGGGTCCATATAATATGCATTTTGCCTGAAGTCCCATGGTATTTTAGTATTAATGTATATGTAATAATAATAAACAGATATTCGTTATCTTGAATGTAAATCAAAATTTATTTGTGCTGTACAAGAGAATGATATGAATTTTCTCCTCAAAATTGCATTGAACAAAGTTTGTATACTGCATTTATTTTGTTCAGATCTGAGAATATTGTAAATAAAATGATCAACAGTGAGGTATATGCCATGAGTGAACTTGATCAAAGGTTATAAAGATTAAGCTTGGAACTAGTCTTGTTTTTATCATTTGATTGGCTAATTCAAACCGGAAACTTTGAATTGACCAATGACATTGGTGCATATTATGATACCCTAAGTGATTAATTACAAACATCTGAACGACATTCTGTGCAATATTGTACAACTACACAGTCAAACCATGATCTATTTCAATTCTATCGTGTCACGAAAGAAATATTGTTGGACTACTTTCACGGTGGTGATATTTGTTTATGATCCAAGTGTTGTTGATAGCAACAGTTTAATGGCTCTGCCAATAGGGAAGAAATAACCGTTGATAATTCTTCTATTCTTCTGTTCCTTGTAAACATATGCACTTGAGTGCTGTGTTCAAGTAACAAAAATGTGTATTGTACGGGGGAGGCAATAAGAACAGCAAGTATATGTTTTGAGAGAGAAAAAAGCACGCTTCTGGCTTTATTTGTTTATATAGAAATATCTTCGATAGTGT